AGCTCTGGTTTCATTCCACATCTTTGCCCTTTTGTGTACTTTTGAAGGGGAGACGTGAACACACTTAAACTGACGGAGTGTTGACTGAATGGTTTCTTCCCATTAAAAATTGGGAAATTGACCACACTGTTAGCAAGATTTGGAAAATTTTGGTTTTGTAGAATCAGAAAATACCACCACTTTTCCTTTTTTTTTTAAGTCCTCACCCAAGGATATGTTTTTATTAATTTTAGAAAGAGGGAGGGAGAGAGAGAAACATCAATGTGTGAGACATACATCCATCGGCTACTTCCTGGTCATGCCCCAACCCGGGGATTGAACACAAAACCCTAGGTATGTGCCTTTGATGGGGAATCGAACCCGCAACCTTTTTTTTCTTTTTGGTGTATGAGACAATGCTCCAACCAAACAGACCCAGCCAGGGTTCCACTTTTCCTTTAAAAAAATACTGGTCCTGGCCAGGTAGCGCAGTTGGTACAGCAGTTCTCAACCTGTGGGTTGCGACCATTGGAAAACACATAGCATATCAGATATTTACATTACGATTCATAACAGTAGCAAAATTACAGTTATGAAGTCACAACGAAAATAATTTTATGGTTGGCAGTCACCACAACATGAGGACCTGTATTAAAGGGTCACGGCAATAGGAAGGTTGAGAACCACTGGTTTAGAGCATCGTCCCAATATGCCAAGGTTTGCAGGTTCGATTCCAGATCAGGGCACATAAAAGAATCAACCAAAGAATGCAACAAATCAGTCTCTCTCTCAAATCAATAAATAAAAGTTAAAAAATAGTATATGTGCATTCAGTTGTTTTACTTCCCTGATAATCTGGCTTCAGAGTTGGGCAAATCCTCTTGTTTTCAGAATACTGCACTCTAAGAGAGGTTATGGGACAATAGCCTGAGGGCCAGGCACCTGTTGTTTTTTATTTTTTTATTTTTATTTTTTTTCCTCATTCTTTTTTAAAAAATATATTTTATTGATTTTTTTACAGAGAGGAAGGGAGAGAGATAGAGAGCTAGAAACATCGATGAGAGAGAAACATCGATCAGCTGCCTCCTGCACATCCCCCACTGGGGATGTGCCCGCAACCCAGGTACACGCCCCCGACCAGAATTGAACCCGGGACCTTTTAGTCCGCAGGCCGACGCTCTATCCACTGAGCCAAGCCGGTCTCGGCCTGTTGTTTTTTATTGATAGACTATTTTTAAGAGCAGGTTTAGGTTCACAGTAACATTTGGCAGAAAGTACAGGGGGTTTTCAGGTAACTCCCCTCCCCAGATATCAACATCCTTCACCAGTGTGGGACAGTTGTTTCAATTGATGAAGCCACATTGATATATCATTACCTCCCAAAGTCCATATTTTACTTTAGGGTTCCTTCTTTGGTACACTCTATGGATTTTGAAAACATCTGGTTTTATAAAGTTTTATTGGAACACCCAGTCATTCCTATTTGTTACATATTGTCTGTTGCTTCTTTCCCTCCCCAACAGCAGTTGAGTAGTTGTCACAGAGATGGTTTAGCCCACAAAGCCAAAAAAGTTGACCATCTGGCCCTTTACAGAAAGTTTGTGACCTCTAAACTAAGTTAATTCAGTTCCCTGTTAAAGAAGCTTGAAGTGATTGCTTTTCATTTGCACTTAAATTATAAAGCTCCTTCCCCCCCCCCCTTTGCTATTAACAGTAAACCTTGGCTTTCAGGAGTGTGGCTTTTGGGAGAGCTAAGACTTTTCCAGGTAATTGGTAGTTTACCTATATGGTGTGTGGAATTACCATGTGAAAGGCTTAGGGAATTTTATAGCTCTCTTTTTTTAGAATATTGGAAAATAATTTTAAAGATTTTTTAAAACTGATTTTTAGAGAGAGGGAGAGGGTAAGAGAGAGAATATTGATGTGAGAGCAAAACATCAATCACTGCTTCCTACTGGGGATTGAGCCCACATTCACACATGTGCCCTGACCAGGAACAGAACCAGCAACCTTTCAAATGCCACCCAACTAACTGAGCCACACCAGCCAGGGCTTATAGCTTTACTTTACAAGGCTATCATTAAAGTTTTAAGTGTACCAGTTTCTCCACAGCCCTGCCAAAATGAGGTTTTAAGATTTTAGTTGTGTTATAGGTAACATAGGAACTAAAAGATGTATTTCCACCCTCCCATGTGGGTTTATTGTCTACATTTTGTTGTATGTAAAGCACCATTGGCCATTTAGTAACTGGAACCTGGAGTTTTAATCACTTGCATGAATTCCTTGTCTATCTGGCATAGTGAGCTTTTGTGCTATGTAAATATTGTTTCCCACTGTGTTCCCTTCTTTGGTAATTATCAAAGCATACAATTAAAGGCATTTGCAAAGAATATCACTTACAATTCTTCCATCCATCCATTCTTTTTTTTTTTTTTTTTACGATAGCCTTCCAGCTTTTGCCCATGTACATATAGGTTAACACTGTTGGTTTCCTTTTTATTTAGCGCACAGTCCAAGTTTTTATACATTCAATCATTTCCAGTACTTTTATCATGGTCAGGTTTATCACCTAAATCCCTCCAGAATTTATTGCTATTTCTGATGAGACTTTTTGCTTAAGCCCAAAGGCTATGAACAAAGAGCTCTATGTCAAAATGTATGAATCCTGTGAGTTTGTGGCATGCGTTCCTGCTATCCCTACCTGTTTGTGTAATAGGGGTGGTTTCTGGGAATATGTGAGGTGTTAACTGAATTGTCCTTTATTCAAAATGTCCTTGGAGGCTTTCTGGATGGGGGGCACAAATAGAAGAACAAATATAAATGTGTATTACACTTTTCCTTGATTTTTAGCTCCTTTCCTTGGCTGCATACTCCTATCAATGCTCTCCAGAGTTGTTCGCAGATGTGTATTACTAGGCAAGGTTGGTGTAGGACAAACCAAAATCTTCTCTTAGATTCATTCAGTGGGAGCTTGAGCTTAGAGATCATCTATTCAAACTCCCCAGTTTCACACATGGCAAAGTAGAAGCCCCAGGTAACAAAGAGACTGTCCAAAGCATCAGCTAGTTCTTGACATAACATCTTGGCCACCTCTTCCAAAGTGAGCCAGAAATTACTCTTTTTGGAGGCGCAGGCAGCTTACCTTTTTTGTACCAATCTCTAGAAGATACAATAGTGAGATGGGAAGAGGTAGCTATAATTCTCATAACACCCAGATGAAGTAGATGTTTCCATTTCTTAGATGAAGATGCTAAACTTTAGATGACTTAAGTATCTTGACTAAGCAAAGTTAGGGGCAGAACCACAGTTAAAAGCTCAATCTACCTGAATTTTAAACCTCTGCATTTTTCATTCAACATAATATGCCGTTTCTTTCAATATAATATACTATTGCCAGAATGCAGTTCTTTATAGCAAGCAGAGTTTTAGTAATGCTGAGGTTTTGTCTAAATTTGTTCCATTAGACCAGTGGTTCTCAACCTTGGCTGCACATTAGAATGTTGTGGCCCCACCCCACAACAAAGAAACAGAACTTCCGGAGGATGAGGCCCAGAAATCAGGATTTTAAAAAGATTCCCAGGTGATTCTAATGTGCAGCCAAGGTTGAGAACCACTGGATTAGACAGTCCAGAAATCACATAATCTAATGGTCATCTAGTGTTATTATTTCTGAACTGTTAGATGGATATCTACTTACTTACTTATACTGAAGTAATTCTTATTCTGAAGACCACCACCATTTGTTAGTCTGCCTATTGTCTCTGAGGATGTGAGAAGCAATCTACGTGTAGACTATACTCAAGTCTTGATTTGTGGTGCCTACCACCAGTGGGAGCTTGGGCTAATCACTTAATCCCACTACATGCCAGTGACCTTTTCCACAAAATGGAAATGATAGCATCTAATCATAGGCTTGCTGCACTGATGAAATTAAGAAGTGCAGCACAGTGAGTGGTACATGGTAGGTGCTCTTAGATGTTGGCTATGCTTTTATTATGGGGAATTAGTGACATAGCATTTCCTGAATGAAATCAGCATTCTGCTAAGAATAAAAACTGCGTAGGATGCTCTTGATCTCCAGTATTAATTATCTTAAAGGTTATTGGCTGAAGCTCCCAGCTATATAAAGTGATCATTTTCCAAGAAACAAAGCACTTTCAGCTCATTTGTGCTTTGAGTGTAATTGGCTTTGGATCCTTTTCATTCACTGGAATGGTTAATTTAACATTTTGCCTCAGTTAACCTTGAAGATGAGTACACTGTGACCTTTACTTAACTATTCCTGCTTCCATGACAACAAGACATCCTGTAACTCACCAATCCACCCTCACGACTAGATCCTAACCCTCTCTGGAATTAGGTTGATATGGATCTGTGTGTGGCTTTGACTACAATTGTTACTTACATGTTCTTGCTGGTCAAAGCTTATTTGTGATATCAGTTCTCAACATTCATGGCTATTCTATCCACTCTCTGGCCAGACATATCATAATGACAGTTACTGCCACCATATTATCACCTTCCTGTCTACCTTTTGGCTCTTCCCCTCTAACTCTAAGGATTTCAATGCCCCTAACCAAGTAGTATATAGAATGCAGTGATCTGTCTATAAGAGGAATTTACCATTACCAGCAAATGTTAGCTTGAATCACTGAATTTTATTTGCTATAGTAAGTTTATTAGGTATTTTTAACTTTAAGTTCTAATCAGTAAATATTAAACACCTACAGTGTGCCAAGTGTGCTAATGGACTTCCATTTTCTGAGGTATACTGGTACCTACAGGATATAGATCTCAGTGATTCTGGGCAATGGCAGAGGGATTGCCCAAGGGATGGGCACAAATTGTGGGCCCTCAATGAAATCCATGTACAGCTTGCTTTGGCCTTAACTGGCATACAATGGGGCAGGTTTCTCACTAGTCTGTTTATGAGCATATATCTTTCAAAAGAGTAAAACAAACAGGATTTCTAAAGAGAGGATCAAGGCACTAATGGAATCACTCATTTGCCCTCAGCACAGACACAGATGCCCTTCAGGGAAGGATCCACAACCCTCTCCTACTTTTCATTATAAGGACTCTACCACAGTCGCCCTGTAAACTTGATTCCTATGACAATACAAATAATCACATGAAGGTATGTGCCACAGGCTTCAAACACCATCAGGAAGGTCTGCTTATAGTAGCACATTATGTATGAGATCTTTTTTGCATGTTTTTAAAAGAACAGCATGGCTGTAGTAGTTTTTTTTTTTTAATTGACTGATTATAGTTACAAGAAACCCTTTTTTATTTTGTTAATTATTATTTTTTAAATATATTTTTATTGATTTCAGAGAGGAAAGGAGATGGGGAGAGAACGATAGAAACATCAATGATGAGAGAAAATCATTGATAGGCTGCCTCCTGCATGCCCCCTACTAGGGATGTGCCCGCAACCCAGGCATGTGCCCTTGACCGAAATGGAACCTGGGACCCTTCAGTCCGCAGGCCGACGCTCTACCCACTGAGCCAAACCAGCTAGGGCCAAGAAAACCTTTTTTTAGAAGATTGTGTTTTTCTTTAAAAACACTTTTTAATGACTGCATATTTCCCCATGTAAATATACACTATTGTAATTTATTTTACTATTGCCTTATTGTCTAGATATTAGGTTGTTAGATATTTAGGTTGTTTTTAATGTCCCCCTCCACCCAGAACTTTTATTTGGAGAAATTTCTGACCTTAGGAAAAGTTGTAAGAACAATACAGTTAACACTCATGTCTAGCACTTAGATTCACCAGTTAACTGTGCCATCCAGAAGGTCCTTGAATAATGTTGTTTCATTATAAATAATGTTGATGAGACACCATAGGAACCTAACGCTTGTCTGTATCAGTTAGCCTGTGGTAAAATTGGTTTTATCTGTTTCACCAAAAGTTGGAGAACCTCCTGAAGGCATTAAGTGGGGACTCACTATGTTTGCTTTTTATCTCCCCCCACAGCCCAGTCATTCTTCACTGTGATAATAGTTACCATGCTGAAGAATGAACTGGAAGTCTTCAAACAGAAGGGTCACCCTCCACCGTAACCATCAAAACTTTATTAGGCAGGCAGTTAAACCGAGGCAAAGTAAAGGGCAAAAGGGAGGTTCTTCTCTAGCATCCCTGAATAAACTAAGAAGGATTAGGAAAGCCAGGGTGATGTTAGGACCCCCACCGAAAAGCCCTAAGTAATCAGGAGTTTTGGGTGCTCACTTAGTCAGTCTTTAGGTTGCTTCACTCTCAAACATGACTGAGTAAGCAAGGACCACCAGCCATCTGAGGGAAGTCCACAGTGAGAAAGAAACTAAGATAAATAAATGCCAGTGTAATTTGAGAGCCCAGCCTGTGTGGCTCGGTGGTTGAGCTTTGACCTAGGAACCAAGAGGTCATGCTTTGGTTTGATTTCCCGGTCAGGGCACACAGCCAATCAATGATACTCTCACAACATTGATGTTTCTATTTTTCTCCCTCTCCCTTCCTCTCTGAAATCAATAAAAACATATTTTTAAAAATGTAAGTTGAGAAATAAATAATCTACACCTTCTCGTGAACATCTTAGGCGGGTGTCATTTTTCCAGAGATGGCCATGATGTTGCTTTTCTGTGATGGGCCGTTGCCAGCCCTCCATCAAGAGGGGGAGTCCGATCCCCTTCCCCTGGAGTCTGTCCGGGCAGGCTGTGACTGCTGTGACCGTTTGGGTATGGCAGAAGGGGGCTAGCTGTGTGACTTCTGAGGCTGGGGCATAAAAGGCCAAATAGCTTCCACCTTGTTTACTAAACCCAATCCAACTAGCTCAAGGCTGCCATGCTGTGAGGAGGCCCCCTGACAGGTAATCCAGCAGTCTCCGGTAGGCCATGCTTATAGGGTCAGACTTGTGAGTAGGAAGCCTTCAGATACTTCCAGCCCCGCTGACCCTGCCCGTGGTCTAGTCACTTCCCAGCATTTGAGTTTTCCCAGCTGACATCCCAGACAAGCCATCCCTCCAGTGTCCTGTCTGAACCCCTGACCCACAACATCTGTGAGCATAATAAAATGGACACTGGGCCAAAAGAAGTCATGTAATATATGGGTGTTGTTGGGGTATTGAATATGATGGGGAATGAGGTATGTGTGAAACCCCCAGTCTTCTTCTTTATTTTTAAAATATATCTTTATTGATTTCAGAGAGGAACGGAGAGGGAGAGAGAAGTATCAATGATGAGAATCATTGACCAGCTGCCTCCTGCAGGCCCCCTACTGGAAATCGAGCCCACAACCTGGGCATGTATCCTGACCAGGAATTGAATGTGACCTCCTGGTTCTTCAGTCTATGCTCAACCACTGAGCCATGCTGGCCGGGCGGAACCCCCAGTCTTTGGCTCTGGAGTTTCTGGGTCACTGTGCAATAACATCAGTAATAACACTGTTAGTAATAATAACAAGGCCTGGTCTGGAGTTGAGAGCAGCCTCAAGTTTGGTAGACCCCAAATCTGCTACCTATTTTGATCTCTTTTTATATTCAGGAATAAATTTTCACAAACAAAGGAAAACCTAAACTTTTCAGGCAGTGAAATAGTACTTCTAGACATGGAGTAAAACAAATCTTTTTAAAGTATAAATGAAACTAAAAAAATTAAGGGATTCTTTTGAAGGATATTCACAATCAGTTGATAGTTTCTCTGTTCACACTTCAGGCAGTGTCTCTGAAGGACTCTTCAATTAATCATTGTTTAGCCTTGGTAAGTCCAAGAATTAACTACGTATAGTTCTAAAATTCAATGTTTTCAAAAGATTGAAATCTTACAACTGGAGAAAAATCAGAGTTGCCCTGAAAATTCTATTTTCTTGGTTAATTTATCCATTTTAAGATGGTTAATGGTAAAAATACATTGACAGTATTTAGAAAAAGCAGCATTATCTGAATGAGCTGCTCACTCTGTTGGGTTTTGATGCCTTGCTAATAATTTTTCCATTTGTTGCTCTCCTTTTCCATTCCCTCATTCCATTACTACTATTCCCAAACTATCCCCCACCAAGTGTTAAAGGTGAAATTGTTAAAGGACAAAGATAGCCTTTAAGTAATCCAGACAGGAGATTTTACATGTGGCTGTGAGGTTTCTCAGCCCTCTGCTCTAACAATAAGATACAAGGTCACTTCATTAACTGGAGAAATAATTGTGGGCTTTTTTGGCTTCCTGTAAATTAGTCGAAAAGAGTATTAAAGATTCACCAGAAATGCAGGTTATTCTGGAAACCAGGTATAAAAATAATAAGTCTGAACTATTATTCTTGCTCTCAGAAGGCTAGTCAAATGCTCCTTTCTTACGGCGACCACCACTGAGAGGGCTCCCTGCATTAAATCAAAAGCCATTTGTGTTTTTATGTCTAATTCATTCTATA